ACACGTGGGTTTGCTATCCTGGCTCCAAGATGGTGGAATGAGCTCCCCATTGACATCAGGACAGCAGATAGCTTACACACCTTCCAGACTGAAAACTCATCTCTTTCGACTCCACTTCGAGCGATAGAACTATTAACGAAGCACTTTTATACTAATAAAGGACTGGCTTACCTAAAGCCAGTTGAGTAGCACTTGAAATGTTTTTGCTCTATGAAACCTGATGTACTTTATGATTCCGTTTTCTTCAAGGTTGTATTTTGTTGGTCGAACGCACTTATTGTAAGTCGCTTTGGATAAAAGCCTCAGCTAAATGCAATATAATGTAATAATATTCTGCTGCTTTTTCATGCATTTAGACTTTTATTTTCTTGTTCTTATTTCACATTCAAGTCCCCTCTATTCATGAACCCTTTAAAGTACTCAGCCACATCACTTATATACCACGTGCGACTGTTGCTATGTCAGTTAATCTTTCAAATACAAGGTTGCTTGTTTGATTCAAGCTCTTGTAGTCAATATATTTATCCCTAACGGCCCGTCTACATTACAGGCGTAGAAAAAGCTTGAAGCTGGGCGTGTCTGAGGCTTGGCGATTTTTTGCGAGCAACGCGACCAACAACCAATCACATGAATCTCCCGCCCCCGACATACAAAGCAATAGCAATGTTAAAACGAAGTAAACTGGATATAAAATCCCCAAACAGGCGAAAACCTACCAGTTTCACCCACTGTCTCTGCCACCTCCCTCCATGCCTCGCTCCTCCGGTTTGTATCCCGGTAAATGAACAGAGACTGATCATACAGCACCGGGTGATTCACTACCGCTATAATGAATTTTCCCTCCATTTTTTTGAATATGAGGAAAAGACCTGCGTAGTCTCCCAGCATACACGCGGTTTGATTGGCTAGCTTGTACTGGCAGATTTGCATAAACGGGATTTCATTGGCTGACGCCAGCTTCGAGCAAGCATCGAGCCTCAAAAGTTGAACATTGTTCAACTTTTGACGCCGATAGACGCTCGCGATGCTTGCAACGCCTTGCCATGCTACCCACAATGCAGTTCGGCGAAGTTTGAAAATATCCTACGTCACCCCATTCAAATGAATGGGCGAAGCGTTGAAAGCATTTTTTGACGCCTGTAGTGTAGACGGGCCGTAAGCCATTTGATCAGCTAACTAACGACACACACTATTGCACATCTTTAAACATGACTCTTATAAATCACTTTTAAAACCAGCGATGCACTACAGTGTCAGCTTTTCTAAAATAGAAACTTGGTTTTGGTTCTAGTATGTTCACTGTACTGTAGGTTATTTAGTGGGAATTCTGATACAGCATTCCAACTATCCGTTATGCTACGCACAAAATTATTTATTATTATATCACCATGGAAACCTTTGATCTCTGGACACGTCATTAGCTCAAATATAAACACCTGTTTCATGGAACACGATGATGTCATAACTCCAACTGACATGCTCAGAGCAGCAGACTTCAGATAATGGTCCTGCCCTCAACAGCTCTACGTCAATTATGGGGTGTCATCATATGCCGTTTCCATGGAAACACATCCCTCGCCATTAAAGACGATGTCGCTATAACTCCTATGAAAATGTTCAAAAAGTGCTCAAACTTCACATGTGTGCTAACAGTCCAGCCGTGAAGACATATACGGGTCTTTTTTTAGATTTCTTCAAATGTCGTTGCCATGGCAAGTTGGCAACACAATGCTTGCCATGAAACACGGTTTTCTCATAACTTCAGTGAAAATGCTCGAAATGGCCCAAAACTTCACAGGTTTGATAACGATGCAGCCATCAACGCATCTAAGCGTATTATGGGATGTCATCAAATGCCGTTGGCATGGCGACAGATCATTCGCCATCAAGTTAGTTCAGAAGTTTGCAGTTCAAATATTCTGCTGCTTTTCCAAACCTTTTTACTTTCTTTTCTTCTCTCATCACACATTCAAGCCCCCAGAGTTCATGTGTCATTTCAATCTAAATTATTCACTTTCTTCTTACACATTACATTTCAGCATAGCAGTTTAGCGTCAGCTTTTCAGCATAAAGCATTCCCACTAGGGCTGTGCAATTTAATCGATCCTGCGATATATATATCGATATTTAGTTTTCCGAGAAAGTATCGATATTTCAGCCGCGGGTATCGATACATTAAGTCTGATAACTGTGTTCGTTATTCTCGCGTCCAGGAGAGAAGCTTTAAAAAGGAGACTAATTGAGTCTCTGAGAAGGTTCAAATGTATACTTTAATTAATAAAAAGCGCGGTAATGTTACAAGCAGAAGATGGTTCAGTCAGAAAAACAGCTGTGTTCTGGCTCTCGTGAGCGAAGGGAAGAGAGCGAGCTCCACCTTTCCAGCTGTTAAATATCCTCTGCAGGGGGCCGGCCCTCCACGTCTCCAATGTTCGTTGTTGCGCATTACAGAGGATTCAGACATTGTACATTAAATATATAACTAAACACGCCTTTTCTTCTCCTTATCTCTTTCATGACTTTTCATTTAATACATTTTAAACGCTGTAATCAATACTCTAAAAATACTTCACGGCTGGTATCATTTCCGGTAGTTCCGAATGTTGTCTCATGCTACCCACGTCTGTAAACAAACGTATTCAAATAAACTGTACCTTCATTTAATATTATGTAATAATAATATCTCGACGTCTATAGTTGTAGTGTTGAAATCAGTAGGTTTCGGTGTGCAACACTCCGTGTCATATCGCTACTAAATTCACCTCTATAGTAAATGGTATATTAGCCACATGCTAAATGCTAACCAGAGATGAAGGATTTTCAGAATAAAAGCTTAACAACTGGTTGTGCACAAGAACTTCTGGTTTTTCAGTATAAAACAGCATTTAAACTGACGGTATGTTTAAGGTACTTTATGCCATCAAAACATTGATTTTAATTTCTAACAAGTCCCATTCAAATCCCCCGTGTTCCGCCACCTGCTGCACCTTTTAATTCTCCATTGTGATACTGCACTTTATGTACTTACGTTTCAAAGGCTTGTAAGCTACAGTTTGCACTGTTTCAATAAATGAAACTAATTTTCTCACCACATCTTTTGATTCATTTTGTCCAGCATTTGCAAGCTGTAGACTCTCTGTCGGAGCCATATATTGTATAATTTCAGTTTTCAGTTGAATTAATTCAATCCAAGTCAATGGAACACTCACAAGATGTCACCAAAATCACACTGTCCCTTTAAAATCTTTCAGAAAATGATATAAGTGTATCGAATTATATCGAATTGTATTGTTGGCTGAATATCGTGATATATATCGTATCGTTGGCTGAATATCGTGTATCGTATCGTATCGTGAGATTAGTGTATCGCTACAGCCCTACTGCTCACTAGCAATTTCTTCAGGAATTGCATTCTCTAGTTTTAATCTGTGTTTCATTACATTTATTAGAGCACTTTTCTGAATGCTCAAAGCGCTTTACATCACTACATTACACATATCAGACATGGAACAGTGAATACAGCAAATCAGGTGAAGAGTCACAAGGACACAAAGTTATGGGTACTTTTTACTTAATACATGAGACTTGTACAGCGCTTTTCTAGAAACTCAAAGACGCTTTGACAGAGAATTAAAAAAAAGGATGTGTGTACTTCTACTTGAGTAAAGGATGTGTGTACTTGTACTTGAGTAAAGGATGTGTACTTCCACTTGAGAAAAGGATGTGTGTACTTCTACTTGAGGAAAGGATGTGTACTTCTTGAGGAAAGGATGTGTACTTCAACTTGAGGAGAGGATGTGTACTTCTACTCGAGGAAAGGATGTGTGTACTTCTACTCGAGGAAAGGATGTGTACTTCTACTCGAGGAAAGGATGTGTACTTCTACTCGAGGAAAGGATGTGTACTTCTACTCGAGGAAAGGATGTGTACTTCTACTTAAGGAAAGGATGTGTACTTCTACTTGAGGAAAGGATGTGTACTTCTACTTGAGGAGAGGATGTGTACTTCAACTTGAGGAGAGGATGTGTACTTCAACTTGAGGAGAGGATGTGTACTTCTACTCGAGGAAAGGATGTGTGTAATTCTACTCGAGGAAAGGATGTGTACTTCTACTCGAGGAAAGGATGTGTACTTCTACTCGAGTAAAGGATGTGTACTTCTACTCGAGTAAAGGATGTGTACTTCTACTCGAGTAAAGGATGTGTACTTCTACTCGAGTAAAGGATGTGTACTTCTACTCGAGGAAAGGATGTGTACTTCTACTCGAGGAAAGGATGTGTACTTCTACTTGAGGAAAGGATGTGTACTTCAACTCGAGGAGAGGATGTGTACTTCTACTCGAGGAAAGGATGTGTGTACTTCTACTCGAGGAAAGGATGTGTGTACTTCTACTCGAGGAAAGGATGTGTGTACTTCTACTCGAGGAAAGGATGTGTGTACTTCTACTCGAGGAAAGGATGTGTACTTCTACTCGAGGAAAGGATGTGTACTTCTACTCGAGGAAAGGATGTGTACTTCTACTCGAGGAAAGGATGTGTACTTCTACTCGAGGAAAGGATGTGTACTTCTACTCGAGGAAAGGATGTGTACTTCTACTCGAGGAAAGGATGTGTACTTCTACTCGAGGAAAGGATGTGTACTTCTACTTGAGGAAAGGATGTGTGTACTTCTACTTGAGGAAGGACAGTGTGTGTCTCCTGTCTCTAGTGAGCTGAGTGTAAATGAGGGGTACTGAGTAAAGGTGAAGGTGTTCCTACCTGTCTGGGAGATTGAGGGGTACTGAGTAAAGGTAAAGGTGTTCCTTCCGGCCTGGGGGATTGAGGGGTACTGAGTAAAGGTAAAGGTGTTCCTACCTGTCTGGGGGATACTGAGTAAAGGTAAAGGTGTTCCTTCCGGCCTGGGAGATTGAGGGGTACTGAGTAAAGGTGTGTGTGTGTGTGTGTGTGTGTGTGTGTGTGTGTGTGTGTGTGTGTGTGTGTGTGTGTGTGTGTGTGTGTCCCTACCTGCCGGGCTTGGTGGCGTTGGTGACCTCGGGGGGCTGAGGGTTGGTGACCGTGGGGGGGCTGGGGGGCGCAGCCTCAGGGGCGTCCGACATGGTGGACGGCGGTGACGCTGCAATGCACTGTGGGACGGCAGTGTCTGACCTGAAGGGGAAAACAACTCCCTCTGCAGCCTGAGGGGGTGTGTATGTGTGTGAGGGCACACAGGTACGTTAGTGTGCGTTCAGTCCAGGTCTCGTTGGTGGCGTTGATTCTTCTGCTCGATGTTTCCCCCGAGGAGACAAACTCCCATCGCACAACCTGACACACACACACACACACACTCATTAACAGCTGAAACACAGGAGCCTCAGACATTAAAATACTTCACATTAAGATATTAATTAATCACTAAAGTCCTGTTTCTGCAGGAATATCATTTTCTCTGGGTTTCATATTAAAGGGAATTAATTGATATTATTCTGTAAATGGACGTTTCTCCCCAGAACTATTGACCCATGTTTTGTGAGATGTTCGACAGACTCTTGATATAGCAGCTTCTTCAGAGCGGAGATGTCTCTAAACCGCTCCTCTGTAATCTGCCCTGTTTATATTAAAGTGAATATCTCCATCTTGGACTCTTGCGGCTTTCACACCAGCGCTTTTCCCTTTCTAGTTCCGAGCGGGAGCTTTTCTGGTTCAGCTCCGGTTTCCCCTTTTCTGCTCCCGCTCTGTTCACACCGCCCAGAGCTGCCGCTGCTGCGTCATGACGTCACCGTTTACGTGCCTGCTTCATAAAATCCAAACCGCGTGGAAATCCCTCACATCGACAACAACAACAATAACGTATCCTCTTACGAAACGAAATGGAAGGCATCGGACGACTTTACAAGGGACGACTTTACTTGGAACTTTACAAACATCACATGCGAAATGCAAGACTTCTTTGTTGTCTTCAGCATCTACTTCAACGCCGCCGCCCCCGCCTCGTAAGCGACGCCGCCTCTTAGCTCCGAAGCTCTTGCCTCGAGACCGACAATTTTTTGGAGCTGGAAGTGAACCGGATTCCGGAGCTAAGAGGTGGCGCCTCTGCGGTGTGAACAGGAAAAACCGGTACTTTTCAGGCTCCAGCTCCGAGCCGGCGCTGAATACGCGTTTCTGTGAAAGGGGCATCTGAGACGTAACGTAGAAGATCTGCAGATTAATCCACAATAACAGAGCAATACAGTTCTGATTCAATAACAGACGATTCCAACAAAACCACACATTTCCAAAATGTTAAATCCTAGCAGCAGAAGCGCCTGATGATCAGTTTCAATGTTTATCATTAATACTGATATTTGGGGGAGAAGCAGTGTCTGATCGGACCGCTAGGAACAAGATTTAGATAATACATATCTATCTTTGGATAGCTTGGACTCCCATTTACACACAGTCATATGATGTGTGGTTTTATTAAATGTGCCAAGTGCTAGGACTGTCTTAGGGAAGAAAGCTTTTAGATGTGCAGCTCCACTAACATGGAACAGTCTGCAAAAAGAATGGAAAATGACCAAGCTAGCACCACTACATGTTTTTAAAGCTCGGTTGGATGCTACTCAATCAGATGCTGTTGGTACCTGTACTTGTGGTTAAATATGTAAATTGTAATCCCTGTACATTTTGCTGTATGATGTCCTTTTGTTGTTCTGTTGTTTATGTCTTCTTGTGGAACCTACTGCTGCAGGTCTCCCTTGAAAAATAGATCATTGATCTCAATGGGATTTTACCTGATAAATAAAGGTTTTGAATTGAATTGAATTGAATAAACTAAATACTTGTAGCTCTGGTTGTAATATGGGTCAGAATAAAGAGGATAATTCAGGGTGTCTTTCAGATGCAGACTGTGTTCATGTCTTCAGGAGCAGAGAGGTGTTCAGATGCAGACTGTGTTCATGTCTCAGGAGCAGAGAGGTGTTCAGATGCAGACTGTGTTCATGTCTCAGGAGCAGAGAGGTGTTCAGATGCAGACTGTGTTCATGTCTTCAGGAGCAGAGAGGTGTTCAGATGCAGACTGTGTTCATGTCTTCAGGAGCAGAGAGGTGTTCAGATGCAGACTGTGTTCATGTCTTCAGGAGCAGAGAGGTGTTCAGATGCAGACTGTGTTCATGTCTTCAGGAGCAGAGAGGTGTTCAGATGCAGACTGTGTTCATGTCTTCAGGAGCAGAGAGGTGTTCAGATGCAGACTGTGTTCATGTCTCAGGAGCAGAGAGGTGTTCAGATGCAGACTGTGTTCATGTCTCAGGAGCAGAGAGGTGTTCAGATGCAGACTGTGTTCATGTCTCAGGAGCAGAGAGGTGTTCAGATGCAGACTGTGTTCATGTCTCAGGAGCAGAGAGGTGTTCAGATGCAGACTGTGTTCATGTCTTCAGGAGCAGAGAGGTGTTCAGATGCAGACTGTGTTCATGTCTCAGGAGCAGAGAGGTGTTCAGATGCAGACTGTGTTCATGTCTCAGGAGCAGAGAGGTGTTCAGATGCAGACTGTGTTCATGTCTCAGGAGCAGAGAGGTGTTCAGATGCAGACTGTGTTCATGTCTTCAGGAGCAGAGAAGTGATCAGATGCAGACTGTGTTCATGTCTCAGGAGCAGAGAGGTGTTCAGATGCAGACTGTGTTCATGTCTCAGGAGCAGAGAGGTGTTCAGATGCAGACTGTGTTCATGTCTCAGGAGCAGAGAGGTGTTCAGATGCAGACTGTGTTCATGTCTCAGGAGCAGAGAGGTGTTCAGATGCAGACTGTGTTCATGTCTCAGGAGCAGAGAGGTGTTCAGATGCAGACTGTGTTCATGTCTCAGGAGCAGAGAGGTGTTCAGATGCAGACTGTGTTCATGTCTTCAGGAGCAGAGAGGTGTTCAGATGCAGACTGTGTTCATGTCTCAGGAGCAGAGAGGTGTTCAGATGCAGACTGTGTTCATGTCTCAGGAGCAGAGAGGTGTTCAGATGCAGACTGTGTTCATGTCTCAGGAGCAGAGAGGTGTTCAGATGCAGACTGTGTTCATGTCTTCAGGAGCAGAGAGGTGTTCAGATGCAGACTGTGTTCATGTCTCAGGAGCAGAGAGGTGTTCAGATGCAGACTGTGTTCATGTCTCAGGAGCAGAGAGGTGTTCAGATGCAGACTGTGTTCATGTCTTCAGGAGCAGAGAGGTGTTCAGATGCAGACTGTGTTCATGTCTCAGGAGCAGAGAGGTGTTCAGATGCAGACTGTGTTCATGTCTTCAGGAGCAGAGAGGTGTTCAGATGCAGACTGTGTTCATGTCTTCAGGAGCAGAGAGGTGTTCAGATGCAGACTGTGTTCATGTCTCAGGAGCAGAGAGGTGTTCAGATGCAGACTGTGTTCATGTCTCAGGAGCAGAGAGGTGTTCAGATGCAGACTGTGTTCATGTCTCAGGAGCAGAGAGGTGTTCAGATGCAGACTGTGTTCATGTCTTCAGGAGCAGAGAGGTGTTCAGATGCAGACTGTGTTCATGTCTCAGGAGCAGAGAGGTGTTCAGATGCAGACTGTGTTCATGTCTCAGGAGCAGAGAGGTGTTCAGATGCAGACTGTGTTCATGTCTTCAGGAGCAGAGAGGTGTTCAGATGCAGACTGTGTTCATGTCTTCAGGAGCAGAGAGGTGTTCAGATGCAGACTGTGTTCATGTCTCAGGAGCAGAGAGGTGTTCAGATGCAGACTGTGTTCATGTCTCAGGAGCAGAGAGGTGTTCAGATGCAGACTGTGTTCATGTCTTCAGGAGCAGAGAAGTGATCAGACGCAGACTGTGTTCATGTCTCAGGAGCCTGTTAGTGGTTGGTAGGAGCAGAGAAGTGATCAGACGCAGACTGTGTTCATGTCTCAGGAGCAGAGATTTGAGATCCACGAGCAGAGATTTGAGATCCAGGAGCAGAGATTTGAGATCCAGGAGCAGAGATTTGAGATCCAGGAGCAGAGATTTGAGATCCAGGAGCAGAGATTTGAGATCCAGGAGCAGAGATTTGAGATCCAGGAGCAGAGATTTGAGATCCAGGAGCAGAGATTTGAGATCCAGGAGCAGAGATTTGAGATCCAGAAGCAGAGATTTGAGATCCAGGAGCAGAGATTTGAGATCCAGGAGCAGAGATTTAAGATCCAGGAGCAGAGATTTGAGATCCAGGAGCAGAGATTTGAGATCCAGAAGCAGAGATTTGAGATCCAGGAGCAGAGATTTGAGATCCAGGAGCAGAGATTTGGCCCCGTGTATCTCCTAATCGATATAACCGGCCTGCTCTCGTCTATCCCACGTGCTCCACTGAGATCCATCATCTAGTTTCAGGTGGCCTGTGGAACTGCCAGTCAGCTGTTCCTAAGGCTGACTTCATCTCTGGCTACGCCTCCCTGCAGTCTCTGGATTTCCTTGCTCTCACTGAGACCTGGATTACTCCATCCAACACATCCACCTCAGCAGCTCTCTCCACTGCATATTCCTTCTCCCATACACCCAGACCCACTGGCAGAGGAGGTGGCACTGGTCTCCTGCTCTCTCCCAAATGGAGCTTTTCCCTCTTCAAGCTACCTAACTTTACTCCTTCCACCTTTGAGTTCCATGCCGTCACAGTAACCCATCCTATACAGTTAACCATTGTTGTTCTCTACCGTCCGCCAGGCGCCTTGGGGGACTTCTTGGAGGAATTAGATCATCTCCTCTCACTCATCCCTGAAACTGGCCCTCCCGCTGTACTTCTCGGAGACTTCAACCTCCAGATGGGGAAGATAGACGAACTAACATCTCTGTTAACCGCTTTTGCTTTCTCACTCTCTCCGTCCCCACCGACTCATAAAGCTGGCAATGTCCTTGATCTCATATTCTCAAGGAACTGCGCTACTTCTAACCTCTCTGTAAACCCGCTCCACACATCCGATCACTTCTTCATTTCATTCTCTCTATCCCTTTCCAAACATAACAAACTAATCTCTTCTCATACTGCACTTGTACGCCGTAACCTTCGCTCCCTCTCCCCCTCTACCTTTGCCTCATCGGTGCTCTCAGCCCTCCCTTCCTCTGATTCGTTCCAACTCCTGCCTCCAAACTCTGCTGCAGAAACTCTCCTCTCTACTCTCTCATCCACTCTGGACTCGCTCTGTCCTCTCACATCTCTGCAGGCTCGTCAGTCCCCTCCGGCTCCCTGGCTAAATGATGCACTGCGTGCTAATAGAACCGTCCTTAGGGCAGCAGAGCGGAAATGGTGGAAATCCAAACACCGTGACGACCTCCTAACCTATCAGGCTCTCCTCTCCTCTTTCTCTGCTTCGATCTCTCAGGCAAAAAGCACT